GGGACCCGCTTGGTGTGGTGGTGAACGCGTTACTCCCCGGAAAGGATAATAGCGCGTTCGTTCCCCACCGTAGACACCTGCGGTCCAGAGTTTTGCAAATATCTCAGCAACGTTGTGGCTGTATTAACCACAGTCTTCGGATTTCTGCGTTTGGGTTTGGCTGCTACTTCTCTCCTCTGTGAATGTCATTAAATGCTGGTAGAGTTGATGAGGTCTGGAATCCTGTAATAGCTGTAGTAAGGCAACAATAACCAACTAAGGCACCCAAGTTCTCATCAAAGATAATCGTCAGCTTTCCTTAATCAAAAGCTTTTCCCAGATAAGTTTTATATTAGTATGCCGCTACAGAAGTGATGGTTACACAACAGGCTGTATATGGGATCGAACCAGCAACCATGCGTGTATTACTGCTCGACATCTTTAATCATTGCGTTTAAACCACGCTTCACTGGCAACTTGACACCCAGGAACAGACCACAGCCAAGAAGATATAGCAACCATTGTAGAGGAAGAAAGGTAGTCTAGAAAGCCGTCGACGAAGAATCTGTGCGAAGTGTGATAGAATGTCGACGACTACAACTGTGATAAGGAAAGCCTTCGACGATAGTGTTTGTTCGTGCTCTATGATAACATGCTGTATCAGCTGCTAAAGAAGAATTTTTATGCTTTGTATACACCATTTTCCTCATTTTGATATTGTTCTTATGACAGACGGTTAGTCTACTCTTACTTGAATGTATTAGCATTTTTCACTAACGAGATTTCTTACTGTAGCTATGTCGTCTATCTGGATGTTGGGTATCTAGAGTGAAGCTGTGTAGTTAACATTTGCTAAATACAAAGGTGCAACTAGTAAAACCATGTTTTACATTGTATAAAGACGGTTATACACTTCTATTGTCAGGACAACTCATCAATACGTGAGACGTATTCTACGGGATTTCAACAAGCGTTAGTGGTTATTTTCTAGTATAAGAACTCGGTAGGAGGACCATAATTTTGATACGTCAACGATGAACTTTGTCTTAACAACGTCTCATGTGCAAATTCACATATTTCGAGCATTAAATACGTTGTAATAGCAGACATTCACCCCGTGTCATCAGGCTGATAAAGGAAGAAGTTGAAGGTGTAATGAGAAAAAGAAACAATAGAACTAAGACATGGGATGACGTATAGTTTCATGTCAGTTCTGTCATTGTTATTTTTTTAAATTTGTTACACGACTCGACTTCACGTATTGCTCGGATGGCTATTTGAAGTCACCTCTATGGATGTCGTCTCACATAGTTGAGAATGTATACCACGTGAAACTTTTGTTTTTTCCATTACGCCACCTGAAACCTCGGTTATTAAACTTCTATGGTCGTAAATATATAACCTAGAGGTCGATAACTAAATCAACACCTAGGTATAGTATTAAAAAGTAAAAACTATCCTTCGGAAAAAATATATGCATATAAAGGATAAAAGGATAAAGCTCTCGGCGTTGATCAATCCTTGAGGGATACGCCACACACTCGACTTCGTCAAGTATCGTTGGAGGTGATTGAATGCATATCTGGTCTTTACATTGATTTGCAGTGGCCAACCGATGTATCGAGCCAGTGCTGCTATCCTACCAGATAAGTCTGGTGTAGCAATTTGCTGACCCCTGAAGAATGGAAGGCTTGATGGGCCGTAACCGTGGCGATCGATGTGTTGGAGGGCGCCGCCGATCACTGCTCCACACGCACCCGTTATCTTGTATCTCATTATTAAATTAATAATTTTCCATTAATTGTGCAACAATCCTCCATATTAATGCTTGGAGAGGAAGAGAGAGAGACAGAGAGAAAGAGCATAAATCCGTATGACCGTCACGTCTATTTGATACACAATTTTTTGGCACAAAAAACATTAGTGGATATCCGCTCACAGGGGTTATTACGCCCCCACCTTTAATCCTCTTGTCGTGCTTTCCTTTGTACTGCAATAATAATTAGCACACTATGGTATTCAACGGGATTACTTTCCACACACTAGAAGAAAATGTAAGAAAATATAGGAATATAGGTAACATGAGAAAATCAAACACGACCTTACCATTATTGTAATGTTGCTTAAATAGAGGGCAATGTGCAACCTTTAAATTACCTGCGACTGCCATTTAGGCGAAAATCAATTTATTCTGTAACGAACACTATTTTAGAAGCGAATCACATCACGGTAAAATCAATAGCTCAGAATTCATCACATAACTCCATCGTGGACATCACTGACGCACAACAAGATCAGTCATTTGTATCGATATCGATGGAACATCGAAGCGAACACGACTCGAAAAGCAGGTCAGTTTTACTAGAAAGGAAAACCTCTTCTTCCAGCTAACAACGAAAGTTCAACTGCTACCAGTTACCAATTTTCATTTGTTCAACACCTTGCGATGTAGATCGTATTACTTATCAACCTTGTTCCTGGTACTGTTTTACTCTTAGCTAGGCTTCCTAATGGAAACGCCGGTCTCCTCAGCTTGGGAGACCCTGCCAGTAAGACGGATCTCCCCGCTGTACATTGCAGCTCGAAACCCAGGAACACCTCCCAGCCACAATGAGGGAGTTAACCGTTGGGAGGGATATTTTTATGTTAGGGACAGAAAATCAATCACTTTCCTACTCTTAAGTAGGTCTTTGTTTTCCTGGTAGAAGGAAGAGTTTTCTTTCTTAACGGCCTATTTTGCATTTACAAATTTCTATTTAGTGTATACTAGCCTTTGTCCTCTTCAGTCATTTTGTTGCTCACAGATCACGTTTTGCGAGAACGTTGTGGTGGCCAGGAGGCATTGCACGGCGCGCAGCGAGCTAAACGCGGGTGAAAGGCGACTTGTTCTTTTCCTGATGAGCCGAAGGATTCAGTTGACGAGTTTCTCGTCTACTCTGCATTGGATCGACTTCTGTACTCCATGCACATGAAGACAAAGTGATGTATTCCATGCACTTGATCCATTCATGGTGTGTTTCATGGGAATCGTCAGGTTTTTTTTCCAACAAATGAGCGCTGAGGTCCAAGGCTAGCCGTCACCGATGCACTTCTTTCTTTCTAAGTTTCTTCGTTGCTTTAAACAACCTCTCATCACATCCACTGAGCGCATCTCAGCACTTCTTCCATTCCATTCGTTTTCCTCGCATCCACCATCCACGAAGGTTTTTGAACTTTTCTCCTATGGGTTTGGCTGCTGTGTGAGGACTGTCAGCATCTCTATGAATGTCGTACAACGCTGGTCAAGTAGATTCTCTCTGAAATCATAGAGATAGCCAAGCTATGGCTTTCGCACGGGAATTTGCGAAAAAAAAACTTTTCCTTTTCGGATCGCTCTATCAGTTATTTCTGTTTAGTAGATTTTTCTATTCCGAAACTAAAGTTTTCGGCAAGAAATTCGTAAACGGATCATTTCAAACAAAGATGTTGTGGCTGGCAGTCAATGAGCAGTGGTTTTGTTTGCAACCTGGATAATCAGAAGTGATGTTTACAAAACTTGTTTCGTATGTAAGTGTAGGAATAATGTAAGGATGAGGTAGTGATGTATGTATGATGTCTGATGTAGTGTGCGAAGGAATGATTTTTGATGTACATGGCAAATAAGGAGTTCATCTACAAGGAAATTGTAAAGCTACGGCAGCAGAATATTGTATTTAGTGCATTTTAAAAAATAAAAAGCTCACATAAGCTATGAACGACTTCATATTTGAACTTGAAAATTATGCTGTACCGTGAGCGTAAAGGATGTGTGAAGCACAGTGGTCAGAAGTGCACTGCATTGCACACTGGATCAGTCGCTGGTTGGATCTCGCGTGTGGGCTAACCAAGTCATGCATTCCTTCGGGGTCGGCGAACTTTACCGGTTTTGTCTGAGAGGGTAAAAACACTGAGTTGATAGATCGGTAGGCTAGTCCAGATGAGGATCCAATCACGTCAGCGATGCTACGCATGGAGTCGGATGCATCTTACATCCATCAGGCATTACAATGATTAAAAATCATGACGTATTCCTTATGGATAATGTTTTTAACAATACTGTAATTACTCTGCTTGTAGTTGATAACTACGTAATAAGACGATGTAATTTAATGCAAAATAATGTACACTAGATTCCAGGAAATTTGTTATGAGTGAAAGGAAAGTTAATTGCCATACTATCCAGGGCAAACAGCGACAGAGAATTCAAAAGAGTATATAACAAGGCACTAAAAGCATTGAAACAAGGAATTCACCCGGTTCTCATTCCAATAGGTAGCTCAGGTAGAGGACGTAACACCTGCGCTACACGACGAAAGGAACCCTTATTAGTAACACTTTAGGTTCGTATTTCATACGAGATCAAAACTTGGAGAATATCGCAGTATTCAAGCCACGCGACGAGGAGCCATTTGCGGCACTTAATCCTAAATGGCCAAAGTTTTTTCAAAGGTCTGTTTTTTATGTTTTTTTTAAAGATTTTACGTCAAACACAGCAATGGTGAGTGCGGAGCAATCGTTTGAAGTGCCAAATGATAACACGACAACCATGGTTAAAATCTGCGCCCCCATGTTGATTTTTCCATGGCTTTCTACTGACCGTTGTATTATCGCTTTAGGATCCTTTGCTTTTGTTGCTTTGGGAGAGCGTGCCTAATTCCTAACAATGGGTATTTATCGGAAACCGGAGCAAGCATTGTAGACGATATGCTGCAGGTTGTCAAATCAATGGCATACCAACTATTTTTTTTTGTCAGTTTACATGGAGTATACATTGTTGCTCTTACTCTTTATAGTTACACATTGTTCCAAAGACACGTGTTCGCCGACTAGCGTCCCCGTCGTTTTTCTATTCTCGTTGTTGTGGACATCACGAAATCAAACCCAAGGAGGGCAGCTTTCAGGTGAATACAGCGAACATCGTAATTTTTCAAATTTTTTTATTTTATTTGATCCGTCTTCACATTTACTGTGCGGATCCCAGAACTTGTCACATTCGATCCGTTTCCTCATTGTCCACGAAGATCTTCCAACTTTTACATGTGGCTTCGGTTGCTCCTTGAGGATTTCCATTTCATCTCGAATGTCGTAGAATGCTGGTCGAACATTTCTCCTTTTAGTCCTGAGATAGCAGGGCTGGAGCGTTCTCAATTGGATTGCAAAGATAATTTTTTCCCAGACAAATCCGGTACCAAGTTTCCGACCCCAGAGAGATGAGGGTTTCGGCTGGCCTAGAGCGGGATCGAATTGGCGCTATGCTCATGATGAGGGACATCATTACCACTGTGCTATCCGCCCCGAACATCGAAGACCACTTTTTTAAATAAATAAGGGCTGTTTTCGTTTACCTGTCTTTTAACTATTTCTTTGTTCAGATTTTCGTAAAAGGCTATGAAAGTGCACAAACCGTATTCTCGCGTTGGGATTATGACAAATCATTGTTGTCGCAAGCAGAGGAAGATAGGTAAGATTAACAAATCACTTCTTTACCGTGTTTCCCTAAAAGACTAAAGATAAAACTCACGGTGTTTATTAGTCTCTGAGGGATGCGCCATGTATTCGACTTCCTCAAGCATCGTTAGATGTAAGTGAATATAAGTCTAGCGTATACAACGACAGGCGGTGGCAAGCCGATGTACACTGGTACTAGTTCCTCGATTCTAGGAGGGTGAAAAGTTTAATGAGGCCGTGCGCGGGGTCGAACCTGTTTCCACACGTGTATTGCAAGGCAACTCTAACCACTCACTACATGCTTCCCCTTACCTGGATATCTTATCCATCTTTTATAAGCAAAAATTCTGAATTAAAACAAAGGTGAATTAAAGTGGAGTAGAATAATTTGCCAATCGGGTACGTATGACATCGTTAGTTTGTTTGCTTACATCAATTTATCTGTCTGACGCTTAAAATTTCCTAGCGACGGAACTCATCAGAAAAGAGTCGGAGTAACTGCAGAGGTATCGACGTCTTTTGTCGTCAGCGTTTTTTTGGTAATGAACTGTCTGGATAAAATGAAGATTTATTATAGCCGGAAATAAACTCTGAGAAATGCAGAGAACAACTAGAGCAATGATAAATTCTTATCACTTTGAATTGTTTAGTAAATCTGGAGAGAATCATCTGGCAAAAGGGCGAAGTTTTTGATCCCTTTATAGGTGAATGTATTTTAGGTTCCGATATCTTTTCCAGAAGATGATTGTTCTTGATTATATCATACGAAACACTGACAGGCATATGGATAATTTATTAATTAGGTAAGCTGGATTAGAAACAAATAGGAAAAACGAATCAATAGCGCAACTGATAGATTTCACATAACACACTCCACACTTTCACTCCAAAAAGTATATAGCCTTCAATCTCTAATCCTGTAAACTAACAAACTAATATATTATGTACAAAACTTCCATGGATTTTCTAAAACCATTATTCCCTTGGAAAAAGAGGAAAAAACGTTACATATTACTTACTTCATATTTGAAGGGCTTATTTTCATAAAGAATCGCTCAAGATCCAGTAAAACTTTTATCCAGTTGGTATGCTGCTGGTTTGGCGGATTTTCTTCTTTCACTCCAGAAATACAAGTGTCAGTTAGGCACTATACGGATCGCTATTGGCTCTTGTTGGGGTGGCCCAAGCCTGTTGAAGTGGATTCCTTACTATTATTGGTGAAAATGTTGTCCTGGACAGCTCGGTTTGCTCGCATGGTCTTATTGTTGGGTATAGTTCTGGATAGAAGAGTTAAACTTCTTCTCAGCTTTCGTGATCCTGCTAAACTATGCACCTCTTCTGTGTCAGATTTCAAAAGCGGTGAACTACAGCAGATGGAGAACGTAATGGAATATCACTAAAGTGTGCGTGCTATAATTCTTGTGAGAAGAGATATCGTTAGAACAACGTGGCACAGCTTGTCCGTTTTCTACTATTAGAATTTCTGTTTTTTTCAAATTAGGCATGTTCCTGGAAAAGTTATCAAATTGGCCGCTATTGATAACGGTCTTGCGTTTCCCGTTAAGCACCCGGAATGCGTTAGCCGATTTCGGACGTTTCCGTTTCGTTGGACGAACTATCGTTGGGCTAAAGAGGTTGGATAGAAGAGGAGAATCTATGCTTGTTACCACTTTTCTCATCTATAAATGAAGTGATTCATTCCAGCCATGGGATGTGGATCTTCGAATGCGTTTGTTAACCTCGATCAATCCTGCATTCCTGCACGATCTTTGTCACGAGCTCAAGGTAAATGCTTTTAAGTGATTTGAAATTTCTTTATTTATGAACAGGTAATGTCGGCTTTATTGTTTTCATCTGGTCTAATGAAGTTTGTGCAGTGCAGCGATTAGGGATGCCGTGCAATGCACACGTGGTCTTTGGTTCGATCCCGAACTATATGCTCACCAAAATCTCCATCACTCTGAATTTGGCAAGTTAGTGCCATAGTTTCATGGGAGGATTGCAACAGCTACCTGATACATCGGTAAAACATTGAAAATGATTTATATGTCAGGCATGCATTCAGTCATCTCTAACGATTTGTAATGAAATCGAATGCATGGGATAGCTCCGAAGGGAATGGTTGACACCTTTGGCATCTCTGTTTTTTCAACATTTCAAATTTCAACTCGGCATTGATTAGGTTTTGGCTTGATGGCAAGCTTACATGACTTGTAACAGTCTCGTCTGTTATTTTCTTGGTTTTTACTTCGGTGATACATAAAATCTCACCCGTCCGACTTTCTATTAACCTCGGCATTAATTGAACAATTCTTTCCACTTCTCTTCAACAAACACGAGGTGATATTCACACGTAAAAGCTGACGTTTCGGTTGACGCCTTAAGGCGAAATCCGCCGAAACGTCAGCTTTTACGTGAGTGGGGAAGTGGAATAGCACCTCGTGTTTGCTGAACATGAGTGGAAATACATAAAATCTCAGTCACTCTATCAATAAATAACACGGCAGAAATCGTCGTCCAAATTTTGTCTTACATTGAAATTTTATTTGGCGCCCCTCCCACTATAAATTTTCATAAAATTTTTGTATTTTTCCCTTTCACTGGATCTGATATCTTCATGTAAAATTTCTCATAGTCGTGTTCTTATTTGCTTTATACACTCATTCAATACTATGTTTACTGAAAAATGCATAAACGATGAAGGTCTCGTCGTTGATTAATCCTTGAGGACGCCCCATTCAACTACATTCAATATCGTAGGGTTGACTGAATACTTCTTGTCTGTGCTACATAATAACTCGTGATGGCCTAACGATATATCCTTCTACGGCTGCTATTCTCGCAAACGGCTTTAGTATCAGTATGTCGACTCCGAAGAGATGGAGGATTTGTAAAACGCAAGACACCGGATCGAACCAACGGCTACGTTGTTTTAGAAGAATCTGTAACCACTGCCCTACATGTACCCAATAATATGTACCCATAACTCTAAGCGCTCTTCACATTGTTTTATAAGCGCGTTCATCGTAGAATCGGATGAAATATAATAACAAGAGAGTGCGATGTAGAAAAGTAAAAAATGAAATAGAGTGACTTGGTGTAAGCCTGCAGTGTGGAATTAAACAAGAAAAAAAATGGTATGATAGTAGTTTGCTGAAGAAAGAAGCGATGCACAAATGATAGACAGAGCAAAACTCGACGCTGTCGTGATGACGTCAGTTTCGTATCTGTTAAATTTATCTTCTTTTTTCCGTTCTAGATTCTTTTCCGTCATAGGCACATCAACAGCCGCTATTTGGTATTCAACCAAATGCGAGTGGTGAGAGGACAGGTAAGTGAGCGCAGAAAAGCTTAATACTTTTTATTTTCGCGTAAATAATAGCAGAGCTGAGCCTATTTAGGAATAATCAAAGATCGCTTTAGAAATAATGGATGATACTGTTAAGAATTCGACGGTTTTCTAAGTACAACGTTTTAGGTATGGAATCTTTACGATTGTCTAGCAAAAAATGAACCTCCGGCTGGTTTAACAGATAGGACACCGGTTCTGGTCACTCGAAGGTTAAGTATTTTTGATTGTCTTTTTAAAGCACCACTATCTTATTCATAGAAACAAAACGTCGATTGATTCGAAATCGAAAGGAGTTTGATTAAGTTTTTAAAGCTAGAAGCAATAAATTTAAATCAAAGTGGTAATTTTGACGAAGCTGAAAATCTTCATCTAGTCGCCAAAAATGTTGAATTAAAAAATATTTTTTCGCGCTTGTTCAAGAATTGTACTCAGAGGTCAACGATGCTATAAATTTCAAAATGGAAACACAGTACAGAATAAATTTGGTAGAAAATAAAACTTCCGGAGTTGATCAGTTTTTAAGGGATGTGTCGTGCACTCTGCTTGGTCAAACACAGAGTTGAATAACTGTATATCTGGTTTATATCATAACTTGTGGTGCCCCACCACTGTTTTAAATCAGCGCTCTCATCCTCCCAAATAAGTCTGGTACCAATTTGCCTACTCCACGGGGTTTGAGGAGTTTATGAGACCGACGCACTCTATGGAGCCAATGACTACATGTGTACTTTAGAGAACCTCTTACCACTGCGCTACTCGCGCCTTTGAGTAGCATGGTGAGAGCCAATAACAAAACAATATTTTCACTGTTTATGCTTGTTCGACACAAATAGGATATTTCGAAACCGACCTTCCCTAAACTTCGGTGTGACTAATCAATATGTATTCTTTCTTGACAAGCTTGCACGAGGTTGATAAATATATTTATTTTC